ACACTTTTAATATAAATTTTTTATTTTTTAAAAAAACCTACATTGTGATTAAATCATGACAATATTCTCTGATCTCAAAGTTGAGGTGACCTGCCTGACTTGACTACCACTTTTAAAGTAGTATAAATTTTTTATTTTTTAAAAAAACCTACATTGTGATTAAATCATGACAATATTCTCTGATCTCAAAGTTGAGGTGACCTGCCTGACTTTTATGTGATCTGAATCATGATGGCCTTTGACAATCTAAGGCTTTGTGGTTGGCTCACTATACTGATCATCCTGAGAACGGGCACTGCTTTTCAGAGATAATTTGATATGTTTTATTATGAAATTTTTTAAAAAAACCTACATTGTGATTAAATCATGACAATATTCTCTGATCTCAAAGTTGAGGTGACCTGCCTGACTTTTATGTGATCTGAATCATGATGGCCTTTGACAATCTAAGGCTTTGTGGTTGGCTCACTATACTGATCATCCTGAGAACGGGCACTGCTTTTCAGAGATAATTTGATATGTTTTATTATGAAGAAATTCTCCTTTTCTCCTGCCTACCAAGACTTTCAGAGAAAAGGCAGTGAATGGGGCATATGGCTGACTACCACCTGAAGAATATAAGGAGGCTTAGGTGATAGTAATAGCTCTTCAGAGAAAGCTTGTCCTACTTCATTAATTTATGTGTGTGTGTGTGTGTGTGTGTTGGGGGTAGAAATGAATGCAGTTAAGTAGTTGTTTGGATTCAAAATTAAGACATAAAAAGCTAGAAAGACAAGATCTCTGAACAATGATCTTGGTGCTGCCATCTTGCCTTCCATAGAATACCGCCACTGGGGTCTCTAATTCCCTAAAGGCACTATAGCCAATCGATTTCCTTCCAAGAATGTTTGGAATTGAGTGAGTTTTCCTTCCATTATAAAAATAAAACTCAGGAAGAAAAATATCTTCAGATGAAGATAACCACTCTTTAACATTGTTGTACATTTCCTTCCAGCTTGTTTTAAAACAGATTTCATTTGTTTGTACTACACAGCTGTAATCTTATTATATAAACTATTATTTTTATATAATAATTTAATTGTCTTCTATATTACTATATACGCTTTTTAAACATAGTATTTAATGGTTGCATGCTATCCTACCACTCCTTTATGACTGTCCTTTTAGGTTATTTATATGTTTTTGTTACTATAAATAATTCATCATTCATTTGAAGTAATAACTACAAAAACAACCTTTGTGTACATTCCAGATAAACTGCTACATAAAAAGTTATTATTATCATAATAGTACTGAAAATTAAGATGATTAGGGTAAGCGATCTTTAAAATGATTTTTAAAAATCTAAAAGAGATACTTTCTAAAGGTGATTTGCCTAAAATTGTCACTGCAAAGATGAGCACATACTTTTTATTTGGATATACATGACATAGACTGGGGAGATGTCAAAGGAAAACTTTTTCCACGCTGTCTACACTCTCATTTTAGGCTCCTGGTGAGACTCTACACCTGTAGAGGAGACACCTGATTGAGGAGGTAGGACTGAGTTACCCACAAAAGTCATTCTATAAAAGAGGCATGTTCTAATCTATGTGTTAACCTAAAATAAAAGGCCAAAGTTAGAGGCAACAAGCATTTATTTGAGATAAAAAAAAAAAAATAGTTATTCAGGACACACTGATTCAGGCAAAAACCCAAATAGTATTCCTATTAGGAGACAAAGGCAATGGGTATTTATGAGAAATGGAAGGAGAACAATTACATCAACAGAAGGAAAGCATTTTTATGGGTGCAGATAAGCTAACATAATGATACTAATTCTAAAGAATGTTTTTAATTTTCAGTCTGGTAGTCATAAAATCTGCTTTCTTGTTATCTTTGCAAACAATTCTTTTGGTATAATGTTGTTTTAGGCCCAGGCATAGGACATGCAAGGCAATTCCTCTGGGATGGTAGCTCTGACTCCATTTCAGAGTGGCTGTTTATATATATATATATATTTACACATGTTATTGTAAGCCAGGATTACTTAGTTCATTTTATGTCAAATTGAATGAGAAGATAAATGATTTTAATCTTGAGAGTGCAAAGACTTCAGCAAGATTAGATCCTTATCTTTTCTCTGCTTGGTCTTGGAAGGACTCCAGGCTTCTGAAGTAGAACTTCCATATTTTCCAAATTGGAAAATCAATCAGTTGGTTAATCCAGTTGACTCATAGACTGAGATCCAGGGGGCACAATTTTTCACAATATGAATAAAATTGCATCATCACCCTCACCATCATTGTCATTCTCTTCAAACAATATTCACGGCCACTAGATACATGGCCAAACTGGAATAGATTCAGAACTGACCAGCTGATGGAATTTGAAGCATGTTTTACAGTAACATTGGAGAATTTCTCCTAACAGCCATCTACAAATAATAGCTGTCATTTATAGTAAAGAAGATTTTGAACTTTTTTTTTAATTGATCGAAGGATGAGAACCAGGCATCTTAAGCAGAAGTTATAGAGTCGGATTTCAGGTGAAAATGGGGGTGGAGGTGTGGGGAAATGCTAGTCAGAGCCCAAGTCGTTTAAGAATTAACTAGGCCTGGAAACCCTTACCTTTAGAGGCATTGCCTTATAATATGTCAAAACACAGTCTTTGCTTATCACTTCTGAATGGATTTTTATAACTTTGCTTTTGAAATTGTTATTAATTTCCATTTTGCATTTTTTGTTTTAAGAAATTTTGGAACCATTAAAAGGTATTGGTCCCAAATCGTTTCCTGGTTCACCTACAAGCTTTTAGTCCCTTGACACTGAGCCTCTGTTGTCTAATGAGTAGAATGGGACTTTCAGTGCTGTCTGGAGATGGAAAGGGCTATTTCCAAGATTGTGACAACCTGGCAGAGATGATGTATGTGGAAAATTGGACAATAGAGGGGATTTAAGTCATATAACTCTGAAGATCTTTTCCAGCCTGAGATTCTATAAGTTATAGTCTATGTGCAAAGGATTCCAGTGCAGCAAGAGATGAGTGCTAGGCTAATATAGGAATGGAGCTTGTTCTGATTATTATTTTATTTAAAGATCAAATACAGGAAAGAGCATGGGAATAGTGCTTGTGAGCAGTACTAGGAGCCAAAAATACTATTTGATTATCCTTTTTAACAGTCCCAGATATCTTGAATTTAGAGTGTATCTAGCTTATAGTTTTCTAACCTGGGTCCATGGATCCTTAGCTAGGGAAACACCTATAATTAGAGAATCAAAGTTTATGTGGATATGCATGCATACTTTTTATTTCTAGGGAGAAAGTCCATAGCTTTCATCACTTTCAAAATCACTTTTAACCCAGAAGAAGGTTGAGACCCATTGGATTTATTCAATCCTCTCTTATAGAGGGGGAAACTGAGGCATAGTGAGGTAAAGAGCCTTCCCCAGGTCACACAGGGCTTAGTCTTCTGGGGCAGAACTGAGTTTTCTGGGATTTTCTTCAGTCACCATCTCTTACTAACTGCCCTCCACAAGTGAGCCCAGAATTGCATATTTATTTATTTTCTTTGTTTTTGTTAGTCCAATTAATAATATTTAATCTTAATAAAAGAAAGGGTATCCATTCATCAATTTCGGAAGAATCAAAATCTGGTTCTGGGGCCAGAAAATGATTAGATCCAGAAACTCAGGTAAAAAATAGGTATATACATTTGATTACATAGGAAAAAAAGTGCTTACAATAACAAACCAATGTATTAGCTTCTTGCTGTTGCTGTAACAAATTACCACAAATTTTGGTAGCTTAAACAACACAAATTAATTATCTTACACTTCTGTGAATGGGTTCACAGGGCTAGGTTTCCTTGACTTTTCTAGCATCTAAAGTCTGTCTGCTGTGATATG